TCTCTGCTCAACTGGACCTATACTTTTCTCTCCATTTCTCCAGCTCAATTGGGGTGTAGGTACCCATATTTACTTGATGATACAGTGACGGTGCTTAGAAGTTTTGCAAACAGGCTATCAATGGGAGGGGGTGTTATTATCATTCCTGCCTGTTGAACATATGTTCCAAGCCTCTGAGGCTTTCCTTAGTGTTCCTCTGCCTTCCTTTCTCTCATAAACTCCTATCTATACTTCAGAGCCCAGCCTGGATGCTCCCTTTTGTGACTCTCCTAAGCAGACCACCAAGGGCATTTTACTCTGTTCCCTTAGCACTTCTTTTCATATATTTTTTACAAAGAGCTCTTCACACTGTAGTTACAGCAGACGGTTTACATGTGTGTTTGCCAGCCCCATGGGCACTGACCAATGTTTGCTAAATATGAGAAAATGAGTAAAGAGGGAGTGATGATTCCCGGTTCCCGGGCACCTCCTGTGAAAGCGTCTACACAGACATTCATGGAGGGAAGCGGGAGGGAGGGCTGCGTTATTTCTTCCCTTGCACTTCTCACAGCCACTTTATTTGGGAGAAATAACAAATTCCTATTAAGGGTATCGTCAGACCTTAATTAATTTCCCTCATCCGGCACTATTGGTCCCGTCTCTGCGCAAGGCTGTAGTGTTACCACTAATGACACACCAAGCCAGTGAGGAGCTGACGCTCCCACCATCTTTAATTTAGGGGAACCATTAGCAGCTCTCTCCATCATCACAATTAGTGGGGGCTGCTTCCTTCCCTCCCTGCGGTGAAACTCAGAGAGGAACTCGTGCAGCTAACTGTGTATTAGAGGGTTTTAAATTTTTTCAAGAGGAAGGAGGAAAGGAAAAGATCCTTGCATCTTGGCAAAATCTGGAACTGACGGATTTATAGATCCTTCAGTCTCCCTTTCATTGCTTTTTTCTTTTTTCCTGGGGGCAAGAAGAGGGGTCTATTACAAACTGAGCTTTCGGTGTGGCTGTACAAAAAAGAGCTAAAAATGAAAAGCGGTGAAGGTGGTGTGATGGGACCGAGGAAAGAAGAGGACCGGCAGTCAGTTTTGCTTGATCCCTTCTTTGTTGGTTGACCGTGAATGAGCACATCTGAGTCTGATGGCCCCAGGCTGAGGGTTCAGAGAATAATGACTCGTCCACGGGGCTCCCCGTGTCCAGGCCTGGCAACAAGCGTTAAGTCCTCTGCTGCTGTTATTCCACTGCTACACATGAGGAAACGGAGGTAGAGAGAGGATACAGAGCTGCCCAAAGTGAAAGTGACCCAGCGAGAAGATGGCAGAGCTGAAACTCAATTCCGGGCAGCTTGGCTCCAGGGCCTGTACCCCGCCTGCTATACGGAGTGGAGCACAGGGCCCTGCTCAGGATTGGAGGGGAGCACAGGGCCATGCCCAGAATCCGAGGGGAGCCCCAAGGCCCCTCCCAGGAACCTCTCCTCTGGGGGTTGCAAATCCCTCACCTGGAGGGGAAGGGTGGCACCCCTTGGTCTTGGAGGCTTCCCCAGCTCTAGTGGACTTTGACTGTAATCAAATTAAGAGTATAAACAAGATTTATTAGGCTTTCCATTACTGTTGTAGCACTGATTTGCACATGGACAATGTGCTCATCACAAACGGCTTTTTCAGCCACTCACTAAAAATCTGGGAGAAGGCAGAAATATTTGTTGGCAACAAGTCTGGGTCACTGCAGGGACTGTGAAGGGATCCTGCTGCCTGGCCGCAGGCCCGAGGCCCCTTCCTGCCCTGGGCTGGCCTCTCCCAGCCTCCCTTCTCCTGTGCGGTGCTCTGCGCACCTCTATAAAGTGGGAGGACGGCACACCGACGGCTCAGTGGCCAGGACCAGACGGGGACGAGCCCACAGGCTGTTCCACGAACCGCAGAGCGCAAACCAAACGTGTGGGTACCCAGGATTCCTCCTAACCGCTGGCACGCTCAGAAGCTGGCTCAGAAGGGGTCATGGACACAGGCCCCAACTCACAGACTGATGCTGTGGGGCCGACCTCCATGGCCTGTAATGGATGTGACCGCGACGCCTGAACTACAGAAATACAACAGTCACAGCCTCCTAGCCCACCGGCCTGGGGCTTCAGGCATCCGGGCTCCCCCACCCTCTCCTGTTTGCTTGACCTCAGAACCTTCAGACGAGGACCCCTGCGTCTTGGAATAGCCGCACACCTCCAAGCACCAAATCCTGAACACGCAGGGTCCCTAAGCTCACCCCCGCCCTGAGGTCTCCTTAATGAAAGGGGAAGAGAAGCTTCCTTCCTCCAAGTCATTCGACACAGCTGTGGAGGAGGGCGGGCAGAAGACTTTCCTAGCTGTGACAGTATTTGACTTTCTCTTCCACTTTCTTTCCTTCTTGTTTGGGAAATTACGTGAGGGACTTAGAAGGTGATGCACCCCATTGGAGTTTCTCTGGAAATAAGGGACCCCCCACCTTGGGGAAATGCATGAAGTTACAGGTAGAGAGCAGCCGATCTCTAATCACAGGCCACAATGTGGCCTCGGAACAGCCCTGGTCTGAGTGGACATGTGTTGGGCCTTGTTCAACAGATGATCCTTCCTTCTGGTCTCAACTGCCCCACTGTAGATCGGGAAATAGGGCGAGGTGTGGCTTAGGATCGGGTTAATGACCAGATACCACGTCATTGGGCTTGAATGGCTAGTGGGAGGGTGAAGGGTAGAGCACTGTGTGTGGTTCGGCGCCCTGCCCCTTCCTGGCTGTGTGTTCTTAGGCAAGTCATTGTCCTGCTCTGGGCATTTCCCTTCCAGTTCTGTCCTTGGGGTGTAGGATATGGTCCAGAATGCCTGTCACCTTGCTGTGTTGTTACCCATCAACACTTAGCGCGTCTTCCAATGCACACAGCTCCCCCTTCTCTATGGGCACGTACAGGGGGCTTAAGGGTGTGTGTGTGTGTGTGTGTGTGTGTGTGGCAGGGCACTGGGTACCAGCCAGTGGCTCTTTAGCCCATAGCATTTCTTGGGAAAGCCAGGCTGAAGAGGGTGTGTGTGTGTGTGTGTGTGTGTGTGGCAGGGCACTGGGTACCAGCCAGTGGCTCTTTAGCCCATAGCATTTCTTGGGAAAGCCAGGCTGAAGAGGGTGTGTGTGTGTGTGTGTGTGTGTGTGGCAGGGCACTGGGTACCAGCCAGTGGCTCTTTAGCCCATAGCATTTCTTGGGAAAGCCAGCTCGAACTCATAGGATGCCATCTGCCCAGCTTCCAGCCCAGGTCCTTCAAGGTCAAGGCCCATATCTTCTGGGCCTCTTGACTGTCTCACCCTGGCCACCTTCCTCCTAGAGAACCCCAAAGTCACTCATCCTAACCCTGCCCCCATCTGCCAGCTCCCAATTTTGCCTCACTGAGACTTATTTCCCCAACCAGTGAGAGTCAGCTCCTGGAGCAGAGACACCCTTCATCTGTTTAACCCTAGGACCAGGCAGTCTCATGCTTTCAGCTCAACTCAGCAGAGACCTGGCCAAGGGCTGGCTGCGGTCACGGCCAAGCGGGTCTGTGGCAGGTCCCCGGAGGGGCTGGCCTGCCATCAGAGGCAGCTTTACTGAAACGACCTGGAGGAGGGATGGCTGAGAAGGACATGAGACGTGGGATGATGAGAGGCAGGATGACGCTGGCAGGATGGAGAGTTAAGGAGGTAAAAGGTAACAAGGGTAAATGCAAAGTGTGTAGCTTGGGCTGCACTCAGCCACAGCCTGTACTCAGCGGCTGGGCAGCAGTTCAGCTGGGGAAGACCTGTGGCTTTTTAGCCGAGCGGGGGGCAAGAGGGGGAAGGCGGACGGAGGAGGGTTTTGCCTCTCTAGAGCAGTGGTTCTTAACCACAGGTGATACCTCCACCCCCCCCAAACGTGTGAGAGCCCTTTACCAACGCCTGGGGGTCACTAGGAGAATCGAGTGGGCAGGGACCAAGACATGACATGCCCTGCAAACCCCTGCACCATAAAAAACTACTCTGGCCCAAATGCCAACAGTACCCTGTCCTCCGAAACATCTACAGAAGGGGGCTGTTCTAAGCATCAGAGCTGTCAGAGTCCTGACCGAGGGCATAACGAGGCAGTGACCCTGAGAGGGGTCTGACCGAGGCAGGGAACCAGCCACATGTTGGGGGCCATCCTGCTCGGGCAGGTGCTGGACCGAAGAACTCTAAGTTCCCTCCTGGCTCCAAGAATCAACTGCCTCTAATTCAAAGCGTGGCCAGTACCAGACTTCCCGGCAGCGCCTCGATGGTGGGACCCAGGTGTCCTGCAGCGCGTTCTGGGCACAGGGAGAGCAGACAGCATGACAGGCCCTGTTGTTCCAGGGTCAGCCCAAAGAGCGCTCGGAGAGAACATCCCCAGCTCAGCGAGGGACGTGGAGATAATGAACTGGGGCACTTGCCGGTCCTGACCACGTGCTCCTTCTGAGGCTGGTGAAGGGCAGACTGGACAGCTGCTCAGTGCCTGATGGCCTCTGGCAAGCCCAGTCCCACCTGTGATGCTCCTGTGATGCTGGGTTTCTGGTGGCGCTGACCAGTGCTGATGGCCCAGCCACACTCAGCTCCTGTCTGGACGGCCTGGGCTGTGACCACCAGCCCGGTGACCTTCCTGAGCCCCTTCCAGCCCTGCCTGAGACCCTGCTTAGGAAAGAGGGAGGACTCCGGGTTCAGGAAGGCTAACTTTCTGCCAGAAGTCTAGAACCTGAAGAAGAGACAGCCCTCCACCAAAGGGACAAAGCAGTCGGGCTGGGTAAGCCCAGAGCTTTCAGCCTCTGTTTTGATGGGGGAGAAACGGCGCTCACCCACGAGGATTTAAAACACGACAATTGCATTTTAGAAAACGTACTATCCTCCCGGCTGTTCAGGGGCACCCACCCCAGTTCTCCCACCTGAGGGGCATTTCCAAGGAGACCTGGGGGCCTGAAGGGGGGCTGTCCAGCATCCACCCAAGCGGGCCCCGGGCCCACCCCTGGTGGCGCATGCCCACTCACCTGTGCGACAGAGTGGGTTTCATGGAGCTCATGGAGTTGAGGGGAGGCTGCATGGGGAGTTTCCCAGGGGGGTCGCTCTGGCGGCTCTTCTGATGTCGGAGCAGCAGCAGGCGGCCGAGCTCCTCGCACCAGGAGGACAGTAGGGCTGCAAGGAAGGACAGGATGGTCAGCAGGCTCCTCGGCCACCTCACTCTGTGCCCGGCCCACCTCACCCACCCAGACTGGGTGCTCCTGACGCTGGCTTCGCCTCCACCTTGGTGTGACACCAGGAGAGTCACTAAGCCTCCTCAGGAGGCCTCAGTGTTCTCACCTGTATAGTGGGGCTAACACACCTGAAGGAAGGAGGACTGAAAAGCTGCTGTTACTGTAGGAGTGGATCAGAGGAGGCCTGACCACAACGGCAAAGAGGAGAGTCAAGACGACAGAGCAGACAGCAGAGGCGGTGCCAAGAGGAGACCGGAGAGGGGCAGAGGGGCCAAGCACAGACCTGTGCCCTGGGCCCAGGTCAGGAACTGCTGGCCGCCCCCGGACGTCTCAGTGAAGCCCACCCCCCTTGGACTCTGGACAACGGGCTCAACATGGCTTCCTCCCCATGGGTGGGACCCCAAATCACAAGGTTTGAACAAAATCCGGATCCTTCCTGGAACCTGGAACCTGTTGACGTTCCAGGAGTGCCTGCAGGGTTCTCCCTGACACTCCTCCCCCAAAAGTGCCCTGCTCGCTGAGCAGGCGTGCACCCACCTTCCGGTCAGAACTGCAACAGGTCCCTGCACTGCTGGGCACAGATGCTTGAAAGGACAAAGGATTTCCAGGGCAGAGAGTGGCCCAGCGGTGGGGCAGGGGCTGAGCTAGAGTCTGCCAGGGGCACCAAAGGCAGAAGCACAGGAGAACCCCCCACATCCAGGCTTAAGGAGGCCTCGGAAACCAGGAGAAAAGCAACTGGAATGAACTGGGTGCTGGGGGACTTTCTTTCATCCTGAATTGTGCCGGTGTGGCCACCAGAGGCCAAAAGCACCCTCAGGGTCAGTGTTTCTGGCCAGTCCTTCCAAAGCGCATAAAGGAGCTGAGGTTTGGGGAAGTCAGGAGTCAGGAAGGCTGGGTTGTCACCACCTCGCTGTGTGACCCTAGGGAGCTCACAGACCCTCTCTTGGCCTCAGTTTGCTGGCAGGGAAGGAGTAGTAATGACCCCTGCCCTGCCTTTCCTCCAGGGCTGTGGTCAGGGGCAGGAGGAGAAACTGCGGAGACCGTGGAAGCAAAAATGACTGATCACAGCCCAGCCAATGCCTCCCTCCTGCCACGAGTCATCAGCCAGACTGATCTGATAGTTCTGGAACGCGGCGACCTGGTCAGGCAACCCGGAGCCTTTTGAACCAGGACTGCTCAGCCACTTGGCTGGATGCAGAGCCCACTTGCTTGTTTCCAGGGTCTCCCATCTGGACGCCATACAACATGCTTCTGTGTCCTTTTCTCGAACCCACCCCATGTGACGCAGGATATCAGCTCTCATCCCCATCTACAGATGAGCAGATTGCTTCACTGCTCAGGCAGGTGAAGTCACTCGTTCATAGTAACCACAGTCAGAGAGAGGCAGACACACAGACGGTGCCCCTGCTGCACATCCTGGTGGTGAAGCCCAAGGCTAAACCAGAATGTGGGGGAGATGAAACTCTTCAAAAGGCCCAAACCAAGAGGCCATGGTCTCTAGCCCCTCTGATTCAATGAGAAACGCTCTGGGCCTCATCTGAATCACACCCCTTACCTCGTCCAGCAGGCACTGGGGGAAGACGCACAGACACACAAGGCCCCGGGGCGGCAGCACAGGGCTGCCACTCAGATCCTGGATAGGCTGCCCCATCAGCCCAAGGCCCCGAGAGGCAGGGCTGGGGGCCCTCTGAGACCCTGCCAGGCTCTGCCCGTGCCCATGGCCCAGGCAATCTGTCAGGAGTGCGGAGTGAGTGGGGCCCAGCATCTTTAGGAGCAGCAGGTTCTTTCCTGCCCCTCACTTGGTGGGCAGGGGCTAGGAGGCAGATTTTAGGACCAGCAGGAGAACCCCGTCTATCGAGTCCTGCTGAGAGCTGGCTGGGAGGGAGGTGCCCATGTTCCCAGGGGTCTGCTGGGGAACAAAGGACAAGAGAAGGGCAGTGGTTTTTGTGAGAATGGGGTGGGGTGGTGAAGGGTCCCACCGGGGTCACCAGGTGTGCAAAACTGCTCAACCAAAGAGGAAAGCGAGGCTGAGATACAGCCTGTGCCCTTCCCAACAGGGCACCTGTTTCTCCCTCCAGGAGGGGGTGCGTCTTAAAAGCTGTGTCCTGCCCCTCTCTGTGGGCCTCACCACACCACCACCTGCACAGGGAGGAGGGTGCCAGAGAGGAGAGGCACCCCCCCCACCCCCGGCGTGTGTCTACCCAGAAACCGTGGCAAAACGCCCCTGAAGCGGGTGCCCAGCACACATCTGCCTCAGCTGGAGGGAGAAGCAGCCTATTCAGCGAGGCTGGAACAAACAGAAATGAATTTCCAGATTGCTCCATTCTCCTCCCAGGCCCCTAGTTACCGCTTCTTGTGCGGGG